GAGCTTACTTAAAATAAATTAATTAATTAAAAATAAAATAAGACATAAAGCAATATGTGAACTTCCATTAGTTATCTACTGCTATACAACAAATTACCCCAAGACTTAATAGCTTAAAACTGAAAATACTTCTCTCATAGTTTCTAAGGGTCAGGAATCCAGAAATGGCTTAGCTAGGTATTCTGGCCCAGAGTTTCTCCTGAGTTTGCCGTCAAGCTGTCAGCTGAGCTGCAGTCTTCTGAAGGCTTGACTGGTGATAGATCCACTTCCAAGATGGCTCACTCACAGGGCTGCCTAAGTGTCTTCACAACATGGCATTTGGCTTTTCCCAGCCCAAGTGACCGAGAAAAGGACCAGAGGAAGCCAAAGCCATCAAAATGATATCCCATTACTTCTCCTTAATTCCACAGATGATTCCTGATGCAATGTGGAAGGGAACTACCACAATCTGGGCTCCAAAGATTCATTCTTCCAATATTCAAAATACACTCATCCTATCTCAAAGCCCCTTAAAACTCTCAACCCATTATAGCTCTAACTCAAATCCTAGAAATATAAATCAAGTTCAGGTGTGGATGAGGTTTTTCATGTATACTTCCTTAAGCACAGCTCCTTAAATGGAGTTCCTCTTGCTCTGAAGACCTCTAAACTAAAGACACAATATCTGTCTCCACATATGTAATGGAAAATGGGTAGGATAACTACTCTCCTATACTATAGACATGTGTATTCAAGAGGAGGGAAATGAGCACACAGGTTGACAGAAATTACTAAATCCACCTGACAACAGGCTGGTAGTTCCTTGATAAAGACTCAAGATCTGAGAGTAATTTTCCATGACTCTTCACTCTGCCTTCTGGTCTTTTGGACCCATACACTGAGTTATTCTTCTTTGTTCATGTTTACAGCTCTATAGTAGTCTTTCTTTCTTTTTTTTTTTTTTTCAGTGTTCCAAAATTCACTGTTTATGCACCACACCCACTGCTCCATGCAATATGTGCCCTCCACAACACCCACTGCTTGCTTTCTGCCTATAGAAAGTTGGATGTCTGAAAACCTCATTTCATTTGGTACTCTGTTCCTTCTGGTACAGGCTGGAAAACAGCCTGGTAATATAATTCTCTTTAAAAAGTCTCTTTTAAAAAAAGTATATATATATTTTTTTTAGGTTTTATTTATTTATTATTTGAGAGAGAGACAGAGACAGTGAATAAGAGAGAGAGCGCATGAGAGGAGAGAGATCAGCGGGAGAAGCAGACTCCCTGTCAAGCAGGGAGCCCGATGTGGGACTCGATCCCAGGACTCCAGGATCATGACCCCAGTCGAAGGCAGTCGCTTAGCCAACTGAGCCACCCAGGCGCCCCAAAAAAGTATATTCTGCTAATATAATTCTCTTATCAACTTTGTGGGTTTCCTGTGAATTCTAGTTGAGTTCATGCCATTAGACAAAGCAACAGCTATAATTCTCTTCCATATAAACCCTCTCTACCTTGGGAAGATGCACCACACCCTTGAATTTAGAAGTCCCGTAATTTGATTGAGAGGTTCTGGGAGGCACACCCTTTTTGTCTGTATGAAATTATTCTGAGGTGCCATGTTAGATCTTTCTGAGGTCTAAAGGGATTTACTAACTATACCCCCAACTTCATATTATCCTGTTAGTCCCTGGATTTGTTCTTTGTTCAGAGCCATTTTCTTTTTTTAAGATTTTATTTATTTATTTGACAGAGAGAGATCACAAGTAGGTAGATAGGCAGGCAGAGAGAGAGAGGAGAAAGCAGGCTCCCTGCCAAGCAGAGAGGCCTATGTGGGACTCGATCCCAGGACCCTGAGATCACGACCTGAGCCAAAGGCAGAGGCTTAACCCACTTTGCCACCCAGGCACCCCAGAGCCATTTTCTAATTTTAACATCATTCATCACCTGGAGAGTTGGGAATGTTCAACTCTGCAAATTCTGGCTCCTTGTTTACCAGTCCTTCCTTTAACTTATCTCCCGCCTCTCATTTTTACAGTAGGCAGCAAGAAGAAACCAGGTGACATCTTTAACATTCCGGTTGGAAATCACCAGTTTATTAGGAGTATTTTCTATCTTACGTATAACTTTAGCTGACAAATTTGCTAAACTTTCTGCCACTTTCCTCAAATTTTCAGTAACACTTTTCTACTAATCTGGCAAGACCTCATCTGCCACCTCCTCAAAGTTATCAAGCATCTATAAACAAATTTCTTCAAGGCTTTTCAAGCTTTCACTAATACCGTCCTCCAAGTCCTTCCACTCTTCTGCCGACTGCCACTTTCAAAGGCACTCTTCCATTTTAGATATTTGTTATGGCAGTACCCCATTTCCAGATACCAAAATCTTTATTAACTTTTTTTGCTTTATAAAAATGACCTCAAAACTCAATATTTAAAGCAACAGAGACATTTCCTATTTCATGCAGTGCCTGAGGGTCAGAAATCCAGAAGCTGCTTGGCTGAATGGTTCTAGCTCAGGGTGTCTTGTGAAGTACTGATCAAGCTGTCAGCTGGGCTACAATCATCTGATGGTTTAACTGGTGCTAGAGGATTCACTTCCAAGATGGCTTACTCCTGTGGCTATTGCCAAGATTCCTTATTGGCTGCTGGGCATAATACTTTAGTTCCTCAGCACACCAAAGAGCTGTCTGGCTTCCCCTAATGTAAGTTATTCAAGAGAGAGGGGCAGAGGCTACCATGGCTTTTATGTCTCTTTTGATCTAGCCTCAAAAGTGACATACCATCACACAGATAGGTGACCAACAAGTTGATCACACACACAAACCAAGATACACTGTGAGAGGGAATTATGCAAGGGTGTGAATACTAAGGAGTAGGAGTCACTGGGTGCCACTTTGGAACCTACTTACCACAGAATTTTGTCTGGATCATTATTCAAGCAAACTTCAAAAAAATTTTGTGATAGGGACACCTGGGTGGCTCAGTTGTTAATTGTCTGTCTTTGGCTCAGGTCATGATCCCAGGGTCCTGGGGTTGAGCCCCACATCAGGCTCTTTGCTCAGTGGGGAGCCTGCTTCTCCCTCTCCCACTCCTCCTGCTTGTGGTGTCCCCTCTCTCACTGTATTTCTGTCAAATAAATAAAATCTTTAAAAAAACAGTTTCGTGATAATTAGAAATTTGAATGCTTACTGAGTATTTGATGATACTATGGATTTATAAATTATTTATTATGTTCTAATAATAATTTTAAAGCCCCTTTATCTTTTAAAGATATATATTAAAATATGTAGAGATATAATGATATAATGTATGCGATATACTTTAAAATAAGAAATGGTGAAAGTTGGTGGTTGTATAAATGAAGCAAGATTGGCTATGAGTTGATAATAGTTGATAATAGGTAAATGGGAACTCATGATTCTATTCTGCATACTTTTATATATGTTTTAATATATATAATATATAATAATATGTATAATATATAATAAGTCCTGGCTTACCTATTTTCCTATTATAACTAATAGCACTGTCACTCTCAAATGTGCTCTGGTTTATATAATAAACCATTATACAATAAATTATATGTTCATCCTTTCTAAAGCAACTTTCTTCCTTTTAATCTGGATGGAGGACATACTGATATTCATTATATCGTTCTTCCATATATCACACATATATTTTACAAATGTTCATTTGAAACTAGCCAACTAATATAATTTAAAATTTTAGACAGTGACAGTATAACGAAAAAAATCTGTATACAGGGTAAATGTATACAGGATTTGAATGAAACCTTACCATCTGGGTGGATATGAAATAAATAATATACTGTGTGCCTGGCATCATGTTTAGGTCTTTGTAGGTATTACTTCATTTTCATACAAGGCTTTCAGGTAAGTATCATCTCCATCATACACATGAAGACTCTCAGGCACAAAGAGTATACATAACTTAGCCAAAATCATACCGTAAATGACAGAGCAGAATTTGAACCCAAGCAATGTGACACCAAACTACCTGCTCTTAACCACAATGCCATAGTCCACAAAAGACATTCTGAATCTTTTTTGTGTCATGGCTCCCTTTGGCAGTCTGGTGTAGCTTATAAAGCCCTTCTTAGAGTCCTGTTTTTAAATGTATAATATATGCATAGAATCGTTAATGAAACAAATTATATTAAAATACAGTAATCAAGATATTCAACAGAAGTGTGCTATATATGTGCTTCTTTATTAATGCACCAATAACAAAATCTAGGAGAGGATCTAATGATGTCTAAAATTTAAAAGTAGTGAACACCAAAAACAAAACAAAACCCAACTATAACGGTAGTAATGTGATGGGAAAGTATCTGTGATTTTTATTAGTGAAAAAGTCATCAGTACTTCTGATACCACTGTGATTGAATATATATGTTACAATAGAAAGAAATGCTAACTTTCACCTAGAGGGTAGCAAAAATTAAGGTATAATATTCTCCCATTGAAATGCATAGCCCTCTATATATTTTACTTCAGAAACGTCATTTCCCCCCACCCCACCTTGCACTTTCTGGTTTGGGATTATATTAAAAATGAGATGCACAAAAAGTTAGTTTATTAGAAATATTATATGTATTTCTCCATGTAGTGAACTTGAGTGAGAGATGAGAAAAAGGAATGCGTTAGGATAACCAGGTGCTTATGGGAAGCTTGGAACTGCTTTAGAATGCTTTATTTGAGAGGTTTAAATCTGGTTCCAAATATGTACTGTCACGTGTAATTATTTATAAAAGAATTCATTATTGATACCACAGTGCCCAATAGTATACTCTTTGTCAATAGCTGTAGCAGTGCACCAATCAAAAAAGAAAATTCAAATACAGGACACCTTTCAAAAGTTTTATTGAGCTAAAAGCAAACATTTGACAAGTTTTTGATTTGCCTTTCTCATGATTTGATGTCCCAGCAGAGCAACTGGGGAGCCTAATTCTGACCAACAAGGAGGAATTGCCTGGCTAATTGGAAGTGACAGAAACCTTGGGAGAAAGCAACCACATACCAAGGATAATTATAAGAAGGTAACATGGGCCCAAAAGAATAGTGTCAAGGAAACTGAAACCCCCAAATGAGGTGAGACTTGCAAAAAAATGTTAAGAAAGGACAAAGAATGGGCTTTTTAAAATTCTATTCAGAGTCAGAAGATGATCAAGGAAGGGAAAAGCCCACTTGCAGCTTCTGGTGTAATGTTAGAGCTGACAGAGAAAGCAGAACTCCCTAAATATTATTTTGCTTCATTCTCTACAAAAGAAACATGAGAAGAAGGTGGACTTAGTAGAAAGAACTACGTGTGTTTGTAGGGTCAGGCAAATCTGAGTTTAATTCTCTGTTTCGACACTTTGTAGTTATATAACCCTGCATCCCCTTTGCCGCCTTTCCCCTCCATTTTCTATAAAATGGAAACAACCATATCTTTTTCATAGTATTGTTCTGAGTAATGAAGTAACACAATCAAAAGACTAAGCTAGGCTCACAGTAGTGACAATAAATAGCAACTTATTAATATTCAAGAGTAATAAAAATATAAGCAGGAAACAGTACTCTTCCCAAATTGGGGAAGAAATTCTTAAAAAGTACCTAAGAGCTCCAGTTTACATTATGTCAGCTGATACGAACAGCTCTTATTGTGGGCGTTAGAGCAGAAGGCTAGTGAGAAGAGCACAAATGAGGCCTGAGAACAATGATCCCCGTCATTGAGGAATTATGGGAAACAACAGGTGCCAGAACATAAAATATGGACAAACGTCTGCCGTAGGGTAAGAAATGGAAATTTAAAACTTGGAATTATTTGCTTTTTGACTCAGTGATGTTCCTCCCATTGGTGTAGTATTCACTTGCCCAGTGAAGGGAGAATTCCAAATGAAAGCAACTGAAACAAAGGATAGACTGAATTTTCCAAAGAAGTACTTAAAGTGAAGACACAAGTGTTGAAAACTAAGGTGATGATGAGAGAACAGTCCTCTTGGATCTCTCCAAAGCTTCAAGGTACAGCTTGAAAGAAGGAAAAAACTGTATCCTCAGGCAAGATGTAGTGGGTTGAATGGTGGCACCCAAAAAAGACGTCCATGTCCCACCACTGTGGAAAGTGTGAATGTTACCCTTTTTTGGGAAAAGGGTCTTTTGAGGATGTAATTAAGTTAAAGGATCTTGAGATGAGGAGATCAGTTGCCCTGGATTATCCTCCAGGCTATAAATTCACTGACAAGTATTCTCATGTGACAAAGGAGAGGGGACAGAGATGAGGAGGCAGTGTGAGCACAGAGCCTAAGATTGGAGTAATGTGGCCACAACTGAAGGAATGGTGACAGCTAGCAGAAGCTGGAAGAGGCAAAAAATGAGATTTTATCCTAGATCTTTCAGAAGAAGTGCAGCTCTGCTTACATCTTTACTTCAGACTTCTGGCCTCGAAACTGTAAAATAATAAATTTGTATTGTTAAGTCACCAGTCTGTGGTAACTTGTTATGGCAGCCCTATAAAGTTAGTGCACAGAGTTTAAAAGAATCCAGTAACACCTTTAAGTTGCTTAGGTTTTCTGGGGTTGGAAGGAATGCACAGGGGATGGGGGTGGGTGTTGTGAAATGGATGGAAGAAGGTGGAGAAAGTCTGAGGGACATCATGGAGGGAATATGTGAACCAGACTGACATTAGCAAAATATAGACCATACAGTCTCTGCTTAGACAGAGATTGTCAGAGTTTGAAAAGGACTTGAAGGGTTACCCCGTGCATTGCCAAAACCAGGATAGCCAAGCCAATAAGCAGCTTCCCCAAAGAGTATTTTACGTCATCAAAGACAGCCTCCGTTTGATTGACAAATGTTTTCCATTCCCCACCCTCTTCCTCTGCAGCAGCACTAATAGCTGGCTCTATGCCGATACTTTACTCAATCCTGTCCAAACTACCCTTGGAAAAAGTACTTTTTCAATATTACCTGGCAGTCACAAACCTTCAGTAATAGAAACAATTATGGGCAACTAAGGGTTTCCAGGGATAAAGAATGGAGATCCATTTCACCAGAAGCGCTCCCTTCAATCTTTCATTGACTGGGACTTTATTCATTCAGTTGAGAGTCCCTAACATCTCTAACTCTCTGCCAGGACCACATTGATCCTATGGAAGAATCTAAAAGGAATTATTAAAAGGATGCTCTGAGAACATCTATAAGAGAAAGCAGTAATCAACCAAATATAGTATGGGTTTGCAAACCGGAATTTGTCTAATTTCATTTTTTCCTCAGGGTTACTAACTAGTACACCAACAAAATGCAGCAGGCCATATTTATCTGTGCCCAACAGGCATTACTGACATTTTTCATCACATTCTTATGAGTAACTGGGGCCAGGATTGAGCATTGGGAGGAGGTAGGTGATAGTACCTTTAAGGAATGACTTAATTGCCAAAGGGTACTGAATCCTAGATGGCAGTCAGACTCTCCAGAGGTTTTTAGTGTAGAACCGCAATGGGTCAACACTGCGTTTCATTGATTTGAGAGAGGACACAGAACCTATATTTATCAAGTTTTTACCCAGTTTAAAAGTGGAAAGGGCAGAATATTTTACAAACCTTTGAACAGCTTAATGTTGACTCGGCTAAATTCTAGATAGTCATAATTAAAATTCATAAACTTTGGGGAATCTGTACCCATAAATGCAGAGTCCAACCAACTAACAGGGATTTTTTTATTTTATTTTATTTTATTTATTTGACAGACAGATCACAAGTAGGCAGAGAGGCAGGCAGAGAGAGAGGAAGGGAAGCAGGCTCCCTGCTCAGCAGGGAGCCCGATGCAGGGCTTGATGCCCAGATCGATGCGGGGCTTGATGCCAGGACCCTGGGATCATGACCTGAGCCAAAGGCAGAGGCTTTAACCCACGGAGCCACCCAGGCGCCCCCTAACAGGGATTTTAAAGTTTATTCTCTCATTTAGACATCACAACTTTATGAAGAATCTACTCTGTAGGCCTTAGAAAGATGATTAAAGTATTGCCCTTGAATTGCAGAAGTTTAAAATCTGGTGAGTGAAACAGACTTATAAAGAGATAAATTATATCGCAACATAAGTGTTCATTTTAAAGCCTCATATTTAGTAAAAATTTTTTAAAAATTAAATACATATAACTGCTTAAGATGAACTGACTCTAGGATGTGTAAAACCCCTTTAGGAGTTTAACAAACTGAAAAAAATATATTTTTCAAGAATATGACAGTGGGCTGATATTCTTATTCTAGCTCATACAATTTTCTAAAAACTAATCAGGGCTTAAGTACCTAGAGGAGGAAAGACAAATAGCCAATAAAGATATAAAAACGTATTTTAAAAGTGTATTCTCAATTACAAGCAAATTGAGACAACAAATTGAAAGAAAATCAATAAATAATAGTATTTATGTTTGCAAAGATGTGGTGAAATGGACATTTACATACCGTTGGAGTAAATACAAAATGGTAATTTTGGGGGAAGTTATTGTATACAAGTCATACTATGCAATGCAGCTTTTTTTTTTCCCCTAGGGAACTGCTTTAAGAAATAATCTAAAATATATACATAAAGTATACAGAGGGAAGTCCATAACAGATTATTTGTATTAGCAAAAAAATATAAGATGAATGATTTAAGAGATAGGTACAGGGACACCTGGGTGGCTCAGTCATTAAGCATCTGCCTTTGGCTCAGATCATGATCCCAAGGTCTTGGGATCAAGTCCCCATGCGTCTCTTTGCTCAGCGGAAAGCCTGCTTCTCCCTCTGCCTGCCCCACCCATCTCTGACAAATAAATAAATAAAACCTTCAAAAAATAAATTAAAAAAAATAAGAGATATGTGGGGCACCTGGGTGGCTCAGTGGGTTAAAGCCTCTCCCTTCGGCTCAGGTCATGATCCTAGGGTCCTGGGATCGAGCCCCGCATCGGGCCCTCTGCTCAGCAGGGAGCCTGCTTCCTCCCTCTCTCTCTGCCTGCCACTCTGCCTACTTGTGATCTCTGCCTGTCAAAATAAATAAATAAAATATTTTTTTTTAAAAAGAGAGATGTACAGCTTATTTGATGGAATATCATAATCAGTATTAAGTGTCTTAAAAAGAGGATTTCTGCTATATCTTCTATTATACTATATTAAACGAGAAGGCTAAGGATCATGATTTTTCACTATAAACTTTCTTGAACATTTTGAATTTTGTGCTATGTGCATGTAACACAACCAACAAAAAATGCAATTTTAAAAATACATTATTCAGCTTAAATTTTTTAAATAATGACACTCTGTGAAAGGCAAAATAGTCTCATTATCCCCTATAGTGAATAGGTATAATTGGAAAATGTGTACACTCTGTGTTACTGGAAATATTTTATTCAGTATTTGGCACTGTAAGAAATCTAGAACCAGTTTATATACGAGCAAGAAGAATGATAAAGCAGCTCATGTAAGACATGGCTAGAGGAAAATGGAAATGTTTAGCCTAGAGAGCATGATGGCGGTCTTCAAATATCTGAACTATGTAGAAAAGGGACCACACTTCCTCAGCAAATTCCCAGAGGATGAAACTAGACCCACTGGCAGGAGCTATAGTAGCCATTTTAGTTCAATGTCAAAACACTTAACAGACTTGTTCACTTGTTTATAGGCCATTTCAGCCCAATGTCAAGAAACTTCATTAATGGAACTGGCCAAAAAAAAAAAAAAAAAAAAAGTGAATTCACAGTCACTTGAAAGATTCAAGCATAAACTGTCACTTACCTGGTTGGATATTACAGAAGAGATTCAAGCAACAGAAGTGTGGCTTTTGTATGATTCCTGCTGTGTGAGTAAACATTTAACCTCTCTGATACACCACTCTCTGTAAAATGGGAAAGTTTGACTAAATTACCTTCAGTTCCGTTTGAGCTTAAAAATTTTTTTTTTAAGATTTTATCCATTTATTTGACAGAGAGAGAGAGAGACACAGCAAGAGAGCAAACACAAGCAGGGGGAGTGGGAGGAGAAGCAGGCTTCCCGCCGAGCAGGGAGCCCGATGTGGGGCTCCATCACAGGACCCTGGAATTGTGACCTGAGCAGAAGGCAGATGCTTAATGACTGAGCCACCCAGGCACCCTAAGTTTTAAAATTTTGATTTTCCATTGGTGTAATTACATTTGTCTGTCTTTTCCAGATTTACATCAGCCTTTTATCACTTGAAATACAACACACTACAGAAGTAAGAAGTAAGAATTAACTGAATATTTGTAAAAATGTAAAACACTATGTAGGTATATGACATCATTACAGTCCAAAATCATTGGCCATTAGGAAAATGCAAATTAACAAAGCAATGAGATACCACCACACACCTGTTAGAATGACTAGCTAAAATTAAAAATATTTATGATACCAAGTATTGACAAGATGTAGAACAACGCATCTCTTTGCTGGTGGAAATGTAAAATACTACAGCTACTCTAGAAAACAGTTTGGCAGTTTCTTACAAAGTTAAACACACATAAACATCTAACTACTGGGTATTTAGAGAAATGAAAACTTGAGTTTGCACAAAAATTTATGCATGGATTTTCATATTAACTCTATGTGACAGCCCAAAACCAGAAACCAGTCAGATGTCCTCCGATGTGAATGAATACATTGTGGTACATCTACATCATGGAACACTATCAGCAATAAAAAGGAACAAACTATCAACATACATACAACAACTTACATGCATCTCAAGGCTATTATACTGACTGAAAAAAAGCCAGGATCAAAAGAATACATAAGGTATAATTCCATTTATACAACATCCTCAAAATGGCAAAATTATAGTGATGGAAAACACATCAGTGGTGCCAGGGGTTAGAGTAAGAGGGAGGTGTGAGGGAGGAGGAGGGAGTTACTTTGGGGGGAATGGGAGAGTTCTGTATCCTAATTTTGGTGATCACCACATTAATCTATTACATGTGGTAAATTTTAGAGAAGTAGACAGGTATACAGAAACTATGTTTATATTCAAGTTTCTAGTAAGCAAGTAAATTTGTATCTACATTCACTTTTTGTTTTCATTGGCTTTTTTATGTTTAGCTATCCTGTAATCAATAATGTGAAATGTTTCTCATACGAAACATTTTTCTTGTTGAAGAATGCCATAGAAAGAAGGGTGTGGGATGTACTTACCTGATGGTAATTTTTACTCCTTTTCCTTAGAGGAGTATATGGTCAAATGCAAAAGTAAATTTAGGCAATGCCCATTTTTATTTATATTTTATTCTTCTTTTTAACTTTATAATCACATTTTCAAGGAAGCCCCTGGAAAAGATTTTTACATAAATTTCCACAGCTCACTCAATTGTGATCTACTTTTTTACTATTTATCTTATGACTAAAGAGACTATCCATATCTTGCCAGGTTCTGCTTTAGCTGCTGATTCTGTTAATACTTGACTAAATTTATTTCCATTTAAATTTCTTGATAAACACAGGAGCTTAAAATTAATTCCTGTGCTAGGATAAGATTTACACAGAGAGTTTGTCTCAAGAGTAAAGTTGTCTTATGGATCCTTATGGATATTAAAATATTAACCTCTCTTAGATAGTGTCTAAGACTGTCCTTGTGACTAATACTACCAATGTTCACCAATATCTTCCATTCTCTTCCCTTCTCTGGATATGTAAAAGGTGATATGTCTTAGTTCTACTGACAGACAATGGCCAGAGCTGCTGTGTCACTTCTAGTACATGATTCACCATGCTGTCTATCTTGGCGCAAGGAATGAAGCATCAAAATGAGATGGACATATAAGAAGAAGAAAGTGATATTGAAGCTTGAGCCACTACATGAAGGGCTGCCCTGGAGAAATTCCTAGACTCTTAGAGCAGATTTGCCTAAGAACTTTTACGTGATTAACATCTGAGATTTTGTTATAGTTCATTACTGCAGTATTACCTAGCCTGTCCTGTCAAATAGATGCTATACAGTAATGTCACCCATATTAAAAGTTTTCAAAAAACACAACAAAACAAAAAGGTTTCATGGCCTTTTGTGTTTTCTATACATCAGATAAATAATTATATGTAAGTTGCCAGCTTTTCTAATAAGAATATATGTAATATGATAAACATTTCTATTAATGACTTATTCTGCTAGCCTCTACCACCAACTTTAGATCTCAAATGTCTAATCTAAATGAATGATACTTTTAATTGCACACAGACACACATACACATGAAATATATATATGTCAAACATACACCTTGTGTTAATCATTGCCAACCAATAAAAAAGTATACATTTGTGGTTTTTTTTTTGTTCTGAAGATTTTATTTTTAAGTAGTCTCTACACCCAACGTGGGGCTCAAACCTAAAACCCTGAGATCAACTGAACTACTAACTGAACCAGTCAGGCACTCACCAGGATATGTCTGTTAATGCAGACGTTTAATTCACTAACAACTGATGTTTCTAGTCATGTTCCCTGGGAAGCAGAACCTGAGATGGAGATTTACATGCAGGAAAATTTATTAGGGAATTTTCTTGGAATTAACACGTGGCAAAATACAGAATTGGGTAGAGCGAGAATTTGTGATAGAGTTTTAACATAGCCTAAGTCAACCCTCTTTATGACTGAAGCTAGGTGGCCCTTCAGAGGCTAAGCTGAGGTAGGGGGCTGGGCCTTCTTATACTCATCAATGACCAGTTACTGGATAAAGACTGCCCCCAGGGAGTAGGTATGCCCTTGGGTATGACAATTCAAGGACAGAGCTGACATCTTGAGCCAACAGCACTCCCAGCAGTTGGATAAACAAGTCCTTTAGTCCTGAAGAGGAATCTAGTATCAGTGGGATCTACCTCAGTGTCCAGTACACCTGAAAATCATAGAGGCATGTATCTATCTGAAATTTTAGATGATCACTACCACCATCATCATCATCATTATCACATTTACCAACAACTTTACTACATGCCAGGCATTTGTCCTAAGTGTTTGAAATTATTCACACATGTAATTCTCAAAATAACTCAATATAGTTTCAAATGATTCATCTTCAAAAATAAAAATCAGGGCACCTGAGTGGTTCAGTTGTTAATCGTCTGCCTTTGGCTCAGGTCATGATCCCGAGGTCCTGGGATTGAGCCCCACATCGGGCTCTCTGCTCAGCAGGAAACCTGCTTCTCCCTCTCCCAAACCCCCTGCTTATGTTTCCTCTCTTCCTGTGTCTCTGCCAAATAAATAAATAAAATCTTAAAAAAAAAAAAAATCAATGTAAGTGCTTTCTACAATATACCACAATGCCAGAAATGGTATGCTAATGATCATTTAGTAATTTCCACTGTAAGTTACTTTATCCTATATGAGCAGCCCCATTGACCATACAGTTACTTTTTTTATGGGTTGCACTGTTGAAATTACAGAATGTACTATGATGTCTAATTTACTTTAAAATAATTGTACATAGACAACGTGATACTATTTGTGAATATATATGTGTATTGACTTAGGCTATAGCATAAATGCTATTGCTTGCCATAACTGGGAATTCATACTCCCAGGGATCACAGCTAATATTTAGTCAAAAAGGCTACACTCTAGAGGAAGCGATGATACACATTTTAGTTATATTTGTCTTGAATACCAGAATTTTGCTAATTAACATGATGAATATTAGCAGTTGGTTTTCATTGATGAAACTGAGGTTGGTCTAACTATGTGAATTGACTAATATATTTTAGACATTCTACTTTATCAGAAAAGGCAATCAAAATCTAACAAGCCCCATAATCTGTATCCTTAGGAAAGGCACCAAGATTTGATCCCGGAAACATCCTGTATCCAGCATGATTCAGTGGATTCTGACTACTTGAAAGGATTCTAAATTTGTGCTACATCTACCTTAAGTGAACATTTCATGAATGTGGTAGCCAGTCTTCAAATTGGCCCTCATGACCTTAATATGAATAATCCTTACTCTTCAACCCTTGGTGTAGTTCCCTCCTACACTAAAGAGAGATAACCTGTGTAACCAATAAGATAATCTGTAAATGGAGATACATGACTTCCAAAGCTAAGTCTTATTTATTTATTTATTTATTTATTTATTTATTTATTTAGTTTTGGAAAAGCTTTATTAGATGTCCAAAGAGAAAAAGTAGTAACTTATATAAAAGATCTTAACCATTGCTTTGAAAACACACATTTTAACCCATAATTTAAGATTTTTCAATATGATTGTTTCAAGATTATTTTCTAGCAAGATAATAAAAATATTCCAATCAGAAAAAAACATTTTAAGGGTATTTTTTCAGTTTAATTTAAATAGATTTACAAGCATAAGTCTTGTCCATAATTATAAGAATTGCCTACTTTACTCAGCAGGCAATAAATGTATCATATGTAAAACAGAATGTATGTAGGTTACAATTAGGAGTTTATACCTAAATGACATCGTGAGGTTTTTTTTAAGAGTTCCTTTTCTTTTCTTAAAATTTAAATTCAATTAATTAACACATATTATTAGTTTCAAAGATAGAGTTCAGTGATTCATCAGTCTTTTTTTTTTTTAAGATTATTTATTTATTTATTTATTTGACAAAGAGAGAAATCACAAGTAGGCAGAAGTAGGCAGAGAGGAAGGCAGAGAGAAGGGGAGAAGCAGGCTCCCTCCTAGCAGACTGCCTAATGTGGGGCTCAATCCCAGGACC